TGCTGCTTGGCCTGCTGTGTTCATCCAGCCCTGCACCTTGTTGTCTCATAGAATATGAGTTCTCTGATTGGGTCTGTTAATCTGATCCAATCAGGGAGTTCCAGCTGACAGATATAAACATGCATGTCAGGGACTCTGTTCACTCTGAGAGCTGGCACTGAAGAAGCTGGATCGATGTCAGAGACTCTCCACATGTAATTATAGAGTAACTCAGTGATGGGATACCAGCTTTTATGGAACTATTTCAGCGGTGACAAGGGAAAAGCACACTCCTGAAGAAATTCACTTGCAACAGTTGTCTTTAAGTTGGGATAAGCATTTCTGGCATCATGCTGTTATTTGGGAAGCTTGATTCGTTCAATCCTGCCATCGAAGACTGGGCGCAGCATGCATGATTATTTTCTGGGCAAATAACATTGGAGCAGATGAAAAGCAATGAGTAATTCTCCTGACAGCTTGTTCACAAAATGTTGTATGTTGCACACGAGGATCAGCTTACCTTCAATAGGGATAGACTGCATTAAAAAACAGAAGGACAACTGCACCATTAGCTGCTAGCACAATGTTGCTCTGCTCACTGCTGAGTTTTCAGGCACTAAGCAGCATGTTTCTTCTTTGCCATTTAAAACTATTGGTGTGGGAAACACTCAGGTAAATGAAATGTTAGCGCCAAATTTGTGTGCTACCTACTTTCATCCAAACAGACCATAAATCCCAACTCCTGGGCCACCAATGGAAGGACTAAACCAACACAGGTTCAATTCTACCCTTGGGTAACTCCAAGTGAAGTTCTCCCTTTATCTGCATGGGTTTCTTCTGAGTGTTCTGGTTTCCATCCAGCCCAAAGACATGCAGGTTAGGTGAATTGGCCATGCTAAATTATCCATAGTGTCTATAGGGTTAGCATGGTAAATGTGGGAATAGGGTAGAGGAGTAGGATGCTCTTAAAAGGATTGGTGTGGACTTAATGGGCCAAATGGCCTGTTTCCACAGTGCAAGGATTCTATGACTAGCTCTTGTGTCTTTTGTTCACTTTCTGTTACCATTGAGAATAAAACTAAGCTGTTTCAATAGTTAAAAGTCTTTACTTGTTGAGTCACATATTATACTATTTTTAATCACGGTTCATTAAAAAGTGAAATGGCATTTTTAGGTTGTTTCAACATAAACGTGTTTGACAGGAAATTATCTTATTAATTCTATGTTTAAAATTGCAATCTTAGCTTCTTGATCATTGAATTTGTTCCAAGGTAAAATGAAGTATGCTATCATCACGTGATGTTGTTCCACTTCCCTCATATAAAATAATGCTTAAAAGAACGAATAGCTTCTCGTTATTTTCAAAGAAATTACATGCTTCTTTACAATTAACCTTTCAGAAGCCTGAGGCAATTGTACGTGTGATGATCCATAGATGCAGGATATTGATTGTACAATGATCAGTATTAATTACTTTTATAATCCTGGTAGGCTTTACAGCTCTAATTTTCAATTTACAAAACAAGGAGTGTAAATGTCCTTTTAAATTTTTTTTAATGTTCTGCATTTCCCATAAACCTGCCGTGTTTTAGTAAAGCAGAAAACTGCTCCTAGAGAACAATGACAGAGTCAATTTTAAAAAGTTATTATTGTCCTTACTTTTCTATCATTTTCTATATAATGCAGAGATTCCTAACATTTGAAACAGGAAAACGTCACAACATCCAACATAAATTGTCTCCTAAATCATAGTGTCAGATAACATTTTTCTGTGTAACTGATTGGATCATTATATGGATTGCAATGCAATGATTTCATATCATCTTTTTAATTAGATGCAAGCCTATAACCTTTGACAGACAATTAAGTTATTATAATCAATACACTAATAATTGTTGCCACTTAAAATACATATCAAAATACATATTTTCACTATGTTTACTCTTATAAATGATTGAAGAAAAGGAAATATTTCACTCACCACGACAGAGTATGTATTAAAGTCTTCCAACGTGTTCTTCAGGGGCACTATATTTTAGCAGATGACTGTTGGTGTGGAAATGGAGAAGTTCCCACCCGATCGCAGAGGAACAATGCAAACTGTTGAGCTCATCATATTCTCAAAATGCAATGCTTTATTTGTGACCGCAGTGTTCCCATTTAACAAATGTGACAAAATATTGTGAAATACTGTGAGAAATTTGTGAGGTAATTCACTTTGGAAGGAGTAACAGGAATACAGAGTACTGGGCTAATGGTAAGATTCTTGGTAGTGTGGATGAGCAGAGAGATCTCGGTGTCCATGTGCATAGATCACTGAAAGTTGCCACCCAGGTTGATAGCATTGTTAAGAAGGTGTACGGTGTTTTAGGTTTTATCGGTAGAGGGATTGAGTTTCGGAGCCATGACGTCATGTTGCAGCTGTACAAAACTCTGGTGCGGCTGCACTTGGAGTATTGCGTACAGTTCTGGTCACCGCATTATAGGAAGGATGTGGAAGCATTGGAAAGGGTGCAGTGGAGATTTACCAGGATGTTGCCTGGTATGGAGGGAAGGTCTTATGAGGAAAGGCTGAGGGACTTGAGGCTGTTTTCGTTAGAGAGAAGAAGATTAAGAGGTGACTTAATAGAGACATACAAGATGATCGGAGGATCAGATAGGGTGGACAGTGGGAGCCTTTTTCCTCGGATGGTGATGGCTAGCACGAGGGGACAAAGCTTTAAATTGAGGGGTGATAGATATAGGACAGATGTCAGAGGTAGGTTCTTTACTCAGAGAGTAGTAAGGGCGTGGAATGCCCTGCCTGCAAAAGTAGTAGACTTGCCAACTTTAAGGGCATTTAAATGGTCTTTGGATAAACATATGGATGATAATGGAATAGTTTAGGTTAGATGGGCTTCAGATTGGTTTCACAGGTCGGCGCAACATTGAGGGCCGAATGGCCTGTACTGCGCTGTAATGTTCTATGATCTATGTTCTACCTGATGTACCTAAAATTAGCCAAAAAATACCGCGGGCGGCACACTGGATGAGCCAAGAAGTACTTTAAGATTGACTTTAATTATTGTAGAAAATAAGTCATAAACATTAATGGAAAGCATCAAAAGAGGTCAAATTTAGACCAAGGAATTCCAGTAACAAAACTGCTATCTACTTTACAATGTGGAAAATCATGAAGGTATTTTCTACCAAAAAATAAGATAAGTAAAATCCAGCCAATTACTGCATTATCAGTACACTTTCAATTATCAGTAGTGATTTTGTCAGATTGATTCAGCTCCAGACCTTATTACAGCCTAATCCAATATCCTCTGTCAATTCAGATCCAAGTCAGTCGATTAGACAGAAAACAAGTGTGGAGTTGTCCTCTTCCTGGTATGACGTTAGTGATTGCAATAAAGATAGGAATATACAGTGAAAGTGGAATAATCTGTGCCTCTACATCAGGAAAAAACTTTTTGACTTGTCCTTCAAGCCTTAAATAATGACTCCAAGAATCTTGTCATTGAGTGGCAAGTACATGCCACTTCCAATTCGCCTCTCCTTCATCAAGAATCTAAATGACGCAACACGTAAATCAGTACACAATCTGGCAGCTCCTGCTTGTTGAATGTTTGTCCTGCCCATCATGTAGCAATTGCGCCTTCACAATAACATCCTGGCATTCTCCATTAATGCCACCTCCTTGACATTTTGCCCAAGCATTAGGCATTGGCAAACCACCAGCTTCACCACATCATCGTCCCTGCTCTCAGATCAATTCACATACCACTTCATCCATTTAATACTTTACTTTAGAGGTCAGAAATACCTGGACTTGCATTGTTTTGCCACGTTGCTTCGTGTGCAGACACACATCTGTATTTTATGCATCTGCACAGGATGCATCTTATAGCTTATATTGCTTACCTTTCACTCACTTTGAGGTTATTCGGAAGTTGCCAGCCTCTTTATATTACATTTTTCTTTCTTAGAACACACTAGTTGGCTTCAGCACTGATTTGTGGTCTGCAAGCATCTGTTTGGGTCATATTAATTTCTTAGCACAGAGTCTTTAGTGTTTAGTTACAGGCTGTCAACCTCTGTGGCATGCATTGTTTTATTAGTGCAGAGGAAGAGTCAGGTAGTTTGTGATGCTGGGCAGCACTGAACAGTCAAGGACATGGACATGTTGCTAAATGACACTTTACTACTTCAAACCAGCAACTGTGCCAGCAGTTTATGCCACAAACACACTGCATGTGCTTCAAACAAATGGCTACGTGTGAAAGTGAAAATGAGCTGCACACAATGGAGTAACAAGGATGACAATCAATCGGGGAAACTACCATTTTCTGTAAAGGCACTCATTCAATTCCAGTCTGGGGGCTGACCACATTCACTCAGGGACTTGATCCTACTGGAATCTGAGGGTCCATGTCCTTGCAGGCCACGGATAGGGCAGCAGTCAGTGCTATAATTCAAGTGCTGGGAAATTCGAGTAACTTAGTCAAGGTGTTATGGAGACATCAGTCTAGGGGTGCGCTGGGATCTTTCAGGGCTGTCCTTTCAGGCTTAACTGTCCTGTCTTTCAGTTCGGTGATGGGGTCCAGGTCAGTCATGGGGATTTGGTCAAAATGATCAGGGGATTTATCAGGGAGCAGTTCATAGCATCCTGGAGAAAATGGACAGATCAGGTCTGGGAATGGGCTTTCAACTGGGAATGGATCACTCAGAGAGCGAGAGTGATGACATTTATAGGGGACAATTGTAGTAGGATGGAACCTCATAATGAATGGCAGGAGACTGGGAGTTTTGGAAGGTTTTGGAGAGAGGGATTCAAACAGGTCACATTGACTCTTGTATGTACATTGGGAAAATGTATGGCCAACAAAGCCCTGGGAATTTTCAACGTCAAGGGTTCTGGGCATAAAGTTGGGACAGTAATAGGTATATAAAGGGTCTCTATGGAAACTGAGTAGTGTGAAAGGTTATAAGGGTCCCGGGGACACCAGCATAAAAGGAGTTATGAATGTTGGGGAAAATGTGTACTTCAAAATGGGATCTGCAAGTCGTTGACAAACAAGTTAAATTGGAACCATATCATGTCAGATTGAGGATAAAATTCAAAATGGCAGACAACATGAGCAAAGTGGACTGAGTATTTTGCTGTTTATTTCCTTTAAATGACAGAATGAAACTCTTGGAAGTGGTGGGCCTACAGTGGGTATTACAGTAATCATGTTGCTGCTAATTCAGTAATGTCGCCCATCTGACTTAAACTGGTATTTCACCGGCAAGTCATTCATTGTCCATGAATCCAAATGAAAACTTACCACCTTGGGCAATCATTGCCACTATATGGAGCAAATTAATTGCCTTCTTATCATGTCGGCAAAGCAACAGTAATAAGAACAGGTTAATTAAAAGTAAAACTTGAAGGAGCCTTTTCCTTGGAAGGATGTAGCAATCAACTCCCAATGGACATTGAAAATTTTGGTGTGCAGGAGAACATTCGATAAAGTGCCATAAATTAGAACTCCTTATTAAGCCATGACAATGACCTCTCTGGAAAGCCTCCATGTGAGGGTATAACATGAGGCTTCATTGTGATGGATGTGAGAATTCAGGAAGTCCTTCAATAAAATTGTTATTTCACTGACATTCCCCAAGGACTAACTCCTTGCAGATCTCACATGAACAACATCATTGCTGGAGCAATTGTGTCCTTGATGCTCCTCTGAAGACAATGTAGAAAAACTTAATAATTAATACTTCATCAGCAAGTTCAGCAAGAATAGCAACCTTCCATGGTTAACACACAGCTTATATGTCATTTCCTAATTCTTGACCCATAAATGCATCCAGAAAGTTATTGATGCCATTTTCACCAGAGCACAGATCTGAATATCTTTTATTCATGACCAGAAGAGTCAGACATCTTGGACAATATGATTCTCCACCACTGTTGATTTATCCCAAATGCAGGTGATATCAATTGTACCTATATTGCTTTGAGAGTGCCCTTTCACCAACCTGCAGAGTTCTTCAACAGAAAAGATTTCCACTCCATCAATGTTTAAATTATATATAACCATCAATGACAAATCCTGAAGGTCTATGCCAGAATTCTAGGGAGCTGCCGTGACTTCTACACACTAGAGAGCTCATATATTCCTGCCTCCTTCCAAGATCCATACAGGGAAAACTGCTGGAAAACAAAGGGTTACATCCATGAACATGGCTTGCAATATCTTTATAAAATCTTCAGATGGAGCATAGTAAATATAATGCTTTCATGCTTCCACCAGGTACTTTGTGCAACAGGCTAAAGGCTTCCTGAAGATGAGGTCTTCCTGAAGATGAGGTTTTGATGCCAGTAACACTCCTGCAGAGTCATATCAGCCAACTGTACTGAGAATTAAATAAGATTTTGTAAAAAGGCCATTTAAAAAGGGTAAGATAACTAGTATTGTAAGGCACATTTTATTAGGCATGGACCTTGAACACTCTAAAGGCATGTGTCTAAAGAAATGACTGGACAGAAAACTTGTACTCCTTAAATCTTATAACAACCTTTGGAGCAAACTAGAGTATAAACAGATTCTTATAGACAGGATAAGAGGAAGACCAAGAATGGAAATAATAAGATAAATAATGTGACTATAAGGGCAGTCAACAGCTGAGAATTCTGCGGCAAGTAACTCACCTCCTGGCTCCCGAAGCCTGTCCACCCTACAAAGTACCAGTTGGAATTTTGGAGGGCCATTCCTTCTTGCCTGGATGAGTGCATCTCCAACAACACAAGAAGCTTGACATTATTTGGACAAAGCATCCCACTTGACTAGGACCCATCTGCAATCTTAAATGTTCACTACCTTCACCAACTGATGCAAAATGACAGCAGTTTGTACTAGTTACAAAATGCACTGCAGCATCTCCTCAAGATTACTTTGATTGTACCTTCTAAGTTTGTGACATCTTCCACCCAAAAGAACATGGCAGTATGATGCTGCAAGTGACACGTATTCTGACTTAGAATAATATTGCTGCTTCTTCCCTGTCTTTGGATTAAAATCTTGGGACTGTAATCTGAATAGC